TGGGGGGAAAACATCCACATTCATTAGGCCAATGCACAACTGTGGAAAAAAACACATTTCCTCGTGTTTTTATGATTTACTGTGCAGCATAAATGTAAAATTGTGGGGGTATTAGTTATTGAAGTGATTTAGAGGTTGGCAGAAAGTACTTTTCCTCCTCGCTTCATGATTTATGGTTATTGCAAAAATGTAGAATTGAGCATTTGAGTATAAGCATATTATCTTATGATAATATAAGTAATTGAAGAGATTTAGGAGTCTGGGGAGGCTGGGTGTTGCATACACAGCAGGCACCATTGGAAATGGGGATGGCAGCTTATCAGGCTGAAATCACTCTCCAAGCAGAGGTGACACATCAGTAAATTTTGCTTTTGTGGCCAGTGGCTTCATATTGTTTGGCTCTTGATATATTTGATGGTATATCAGGGGGATATGGAGTGCAGGAGTTATGAGATGTCATATTATTCACCTTAAGCGGAAGTGATATATGGTGATAACTTGTGTTGTAATATTGTTTGGATATTTGTGCACACTGACAGGTGGCTAAAAGATATTCCAAATCGGTTCCATAAAATATCCATAGCCATTATATCTGGTTAAATGCAATTTCCTCTTATATTTACTTATTAATCTGGGAGGGACAGATAAGGGGGAGAGGTCAGCTTTAAATGGATTTGGTTTCTTTAGGCTGGGCTCTCCTTCTCCAGAATGACTGAGCAGTGCTTTCAATCAGCGCTGCCAACCCTCACTGTGGTAATGATGGCTGGGGCTTCATTAAGAAGCTCGTTAAGTCCCCTCGTTAAGCTGCAGGGCCGTTAAGACTTAGATTGTTAATGGCTCTTCGTTAAGGAGAGTGAGGCACTGGGCTCCCATGATGGTACTGACCAACTCGGGTGTTTTGGGCTAGTGGCCCCAGTTGGCCTCCATAGAAGATGAGAAGAAGCCTAAACTCGGCGTGGGTCAAAATGTTATTACTTTTCAATGAACTTGAGTAACCATGGCTGCAACAATACACAATTAGTTTAAGTAAATAAAATCTGCACATGTATATACTGTAGGTGCACAGGTGATGAACCAGAGTAAATGGCTGGAGCTCAGAAAAATCATTTACTCAAGTTCTAAAAGAAGCCACCTTTAGTTTATATATAGTATAGTATGAGCCAAAACCACAAGCCTGACTCCAGTCTTAAAAGAATATGATGACAAAAACTGAGAAGAATAGTTTGTGGCAGGCCAACCTAAATTATGACGGTAGAACAGCATGTAATATGAGTGAAGCTGGGCTGCAGGTTGCCAACTGTACAGTACATTATGTGCATCTAGATTTTTCTGTGGATAGTGATGTGTAAGGTGTATTTTTTGCCTCACTGGTACTTTCAACAAGTCAAACTCACTCTGTTTTGCTCTCCCTTCACTGACTTACACCGCTTCCTTGAGTCATTTAGAAATAAAGTCCAATCCAGGGTGCTATATGCCCGAATGTTTGCAACACTGTTTCTGCCAGGTTTGTGTACTGTATCAGAGCTGCCTGTAAGAGGTGCATGAGGAGGTCATATGTCCAGTAAGACATATTTGAGCTGGGCAGTGAAATCTGGTTGCAAATGGTTACTGCAGACTGATGGGAGATCCTTGAAATTTGTTATGTATCAGCACAGTGTGTCTTGCACAAAATCTGGTAGGCTGATACAGTGCTTGAAGTGGGCCAGCATGTACCGGTATGCAGTAGTGGCACTTCTATAGTCTACTCGTTGGTATATCTGGACTTTTTTTGTGTACTGCCAGTACTTTTTTCTGGCCCCTCTCTGGACTTGTCTGAGATGAATTGCATCTCGCCTGAACAGCTGACAAGAGCAGACGATGGGAGCTGGGGTCGTTGATGAAAAGCTCCACCAAAAGAGACCTGAGCTCCCACAGAAGCAACAAAATTTTAGTTTTAAGTGGTCCCAAATAATCAATAATAATATTCAATTTTGTTATATCACTTTTAGTCATAAACTGCAGTAGCTGCAGGGGTGTGGTGGGTGGGTGGCTGTGGCTCACGAGGTAGGGCAAGGCGTCTTCTGGCCAGCAAGTCGGTGGTTCAACTCCCGGTCTCCCTACGTGTCCCTGAGCAAGACACTGAACCCCAAATTGCTCCTGTTGGCTTGACTAGCGCCGTTGTGTGGCAGCCTTGTCGTCGTGAATGCTGTATAATCTCCCTGTAAAGCGCTTTGGCCAGTTTATAAAAGCGCTATATAAATACAGTCCATTTACCATATAAAACAAAGTAAATGTGAATTAAATCAAAAGTTTGACACCCCCTCTCTCTTGTCTTGTTTCTGTTCTACACTTCTCCTCCCAGGGCACAGGATCGCTGTTTTATGGTTTACTTGTGCAATTAAAGTCTTTGCAGTACCTGCAGTTTGTCTGGTCTGTGTGGACCTGAACTGGATCAGACCATTTCCATTTCCCAACATGAGCGGCCTCATGTCAGCAGCACACAGAACAGCATATGTGCAAGCTGTCTGATTGAGTTTACCTGCTGTCAATATTTATATTTTATTTATTATTCAAATAATTGTATGTAGTCGACGGGGTAAAAAGATTTGATGCTCCACAAAATAAGACAGGAACAAATGATTACAGTAACACAGTATACTGGTGGTTGTGGGCAGGTAGATACAGTGTAAGGAATAGCTGATTATGGGGCAGGAGGGGCATGTTATGGTCACATAATTGAGGAAGGTAGGGAGAGCTACAGTATAGGGTAAAACCTAGTTCCCTTATTTAATCGTTCTTCACTGCTCAGTCCTCACTTGACTCAGATGTCATCCTAGTTGGCTATCATGAAGGATGTCTTGCTCTGAGGAGTGAGGTATGAGGTGTGAGGAGGCTGCCAGGAGGAGCCATGAGCGAGGATACATGAGAGCATCCTTTGTGGAAGTTTCATGACATGCCCCTTTATCAGATATCACTTGGTGATTGGATGTTTCAGATAAAGGATTGTAGGAAAGGCTGTCTCAGTATAAACTCAGTATAAAAGTGTTTCTTCAATTCTCCTCTCCACACATTTTATTCTTGTATTTGTTCATCACATCTTATTTGGGCAGGATTAAGACAAAGAACAGATGCAAGTCAGGGAAACATGGCTACTATCAAGGGAATGTCTGTTGTGAAAAAGGTCTATGTGCATTAGACCTAACAGACACTGAAAATCTGCATAAAGTGCTAAACTAAAGCAGGGTGATTCTGTTGCCTCGACAGGCCTACACTGAGAAAAGTTATGTGATGACACATTGAAATGTCTTTTGAATCACTTAACGCCTGACTCCACAGACGAAAAAATGTCAACAGGAAATGTTTAAAGCACCTCTGCATTAAAATTCACTCCTTTGCTCTGTGGTGAAAGCTCAGTAGTATTTGCCAAAATATGGTATAGCAAAAATCCTCTAAACAGTGATCAGTGGAAGAGTACTTTAATGAACAGACACACGCACGTACAACATGACTGAGTATGGCATTGTTGTTAACAAGTAAATGTAGTGTATTTAGTTATTGTCATTTGAGCATATGGTCACTTTCAAAAGTTCCTTGAAACACAGCAACTGAGCTAGCATAAATGTGCTAATGCTAATTGTGGCAAAGCTGATTAAACAATAACTCTCCTTAGTTAGATTACAGTGTGCATGGATATAGAGAAAAGCCTTCATGGCAGCAGTAGATCTATTTCATACTGCTCTCACACAACACACTATGAGTACTTTCAGAATTTCCAATTTTCTTTGTCATTAAAACAAAGGGATCTCTTGAAAGTCAAATGTTTAACTTTTGACTTTGTGCCAAATTGTTCACACAGTTGTAGCTTCCAACTTTCAGAGTCTGAACTTATGATTGCTTTCTTAGATATAAACAACCTTGTCAACATCTTTACTTATCATTTACCCCCCAGGAAACTGCTGTATCCATCCCATTTCCCCCCTTGAATAATGCCGATTCTCAAAGTAAATGAGCACTTCGATTCACAGTATCCATTCTCATTTCATTTAACAAATGTGCTTAGCTGTTGCCACGCAACAATGCTTTCCTAAACCCCCATCCCCTCCCCAGCCAGCTCCCTGCTCTCTTTTCTCCATCTAAAGTCACAATGCCACACTTTGCTCTGAGTGGGGGCTAATTTAACACTCTTTTTTGTCACAGTTACTATTCGATCCACGTAGGTACGGGGTAATGAGATTGAATCTTGATGTGCTGGGTGCATCCTGCTGGCATGTCTCTCTTGTCGAGGAGGGAGGACAGTGTGGAGCCTTCCCTGATATTACATCTCCGTGCATGAGAGGATGCTGGTCGCTCTGCCATCCCGCCATGCACTGATCCAATAAAGCTTAAGCACAGGGCTGTGATCGATACAGCATGTCCCACTGCCTTCACCCCTCCGCTCTCCCTCATACACACCTATTAGTTTGAGAATAATTGATTGCCCTACTGTTCATTATTCCTTTGATTTGGTGCTTTCATTAAATAGCCAGGGCACTTGCATGTGCACAGACTAGTAAGCTTTCGGGGACCCCAGCTGCTGGGAAGTGAATAGAGGCTTTAAGAGTGAGCAGGAGAGCATGTGTTCTGGATATCACTGAGATTAAGGAGATCCTGGTTTATAACTGCTCATACTGCAGGAATAGAGAGACGAGACACTACAATGGAAGGAAAGTGTGTGAGAGAGAGAAAGGTATTGTGCATATTCTTTTGTTTGCCTCTGTTTAAATTCATTATATCCTGGAGGCATGCAGAAGATAATCTGCTTGTTTTGTCTTCATTGCCTGTTTCAAAAAAACAAACTTAATTTTTAACCGGTGTTTGCTCATGTCTTTCTTTCCCTCCCTTTATGTTTCTGTCTGTCCTTACCTCCCCCAACCCTCTGCTCTCTGTTTCCACCCATTCCTCTCCTCTTGTTTCCTTTTTGTTTGCCTTTGTTTCCTTTTTCTATTTTTTTTTTACTCCTCTTCTCATCCTTTCTCACCTAGCTCCACACCGACATGGACAGAAATGATGGACGCACTAAGTATGTCCTGCGAGGCGAGGGGGCAGGCTCGGTCTTTGTGATAGACGAGAAGACGGGCAACATTCACGTCACCAAGCCACTGGACCGTGAGGAGAAGGACGAGTACCGTCTCATTGCCACAGCCACCGACAGGCAGACAGACCGTGCCCTGGAGCCCTCGTCACAGTTCATAATTCGGGTGCAGGACATCAATGACAACCCACCTGTTTTTGACGAAGGTCCTTACACCGCCACTGTGCCTGAGATGGCAAATATAGGTACTGGACCCTGGTGTTACTTAATAAATAAGACATGAAATGAATGATCAAATGAAAATATAGAAATTAACCAGTGGAATAATTTATTGATTTGTTAATTGCTATTAATTTTAACAAAAACTATTATTATTAAAAGCTATTTGTCACATTTCATGACAGTGAAGTTGTCACTGCCCTCCCTCCTCACTTTCACATGTGCCCTCAGACTTAATTGTAGCAGGCCATCAAACTTTTTCCAAAAACCTATCCAGCTAGCACTTTTTGCTAGGGCATCAAAAGTGCAAATGGAATTTTGAATGAACCACCTGACTGATGTTACAGTACAATAACGTTTTATTTGGGTTAACAGTGCTACGCATGTTATGGAGCTGGCCAGCTAACGGCAGTAGCAAGGTGGCGTTGTGAGCCTGGATTTAGTACTTAGCAGTAAAGTGAGGAGCCAGTGTTAGCAGCAACAGCTAACTGGTCATTTCAGTGTTAGCTCTGTGATTATAAAGATGGCCTCAGAGTAGGGTTGCCAACTGTCAAGGATTTCACAGGAGACTCCTGGAACTGATTTAGGCCTCCTGGAAAAATCAAAATTCAATCCATGAGATTTTGATTTATTTATTTATTTATTTATTGCTGTTTTTAAAATAGCCTATAGATTGAACATGGAAGTAAAATATCAGGAAAAATCACAAAATTAAATGGAAGGCAATTCCAGGGCACTAATAGAAAAACTGAAACTGCACACTGTAATTTATTTGTATTAATTTAAGCTAATTATACTGAAAAATACAACCTTATTGTAGGGGCTTTGCATCGCCAGTCTTCTGCCTCACTTTGTGGTCATGTGATGTTAAGGTGCTCCTATATGAATGCAGTCATCCCAGTGGTTTTTATTTTCATATTCTGATGATATGAAAGGCCAGAGTTGTCTAATATTTGGCTGCACCCCTGTCTTTTTGTGACTGCTGGAGTTGGTAAAGTCTGTTTTGTTCCTCAGCCATGCTCTGAGTGTACCCCACTCCCCACCGCCATGCAAACAAAAAACTTCCCTCATTATTGGCACATAGAGTCAGTAGCCCTACCTACCCAAAGATACACCTCTATGAAGAGGAAAAAATAAAATAAATAAAAAAATGAACGTGGCAATAGAACAGTGTAAAATACTTTTGTACAATTAAAAGTCCTGCATTCAAAATGTTAACTAAGTCAAAGTACATGTAAGGTACTAAAAGTACTCATTAAGCACAATGGCACATTTAACATTAATATACATTAATATACATTGGATTATAATTATTGATACCTTAATGTGTTCATAACTTTATTGTTGCATGCACCTGGCTTTAACTAGCTAGCTAACTAAGATAGTTTATATGCTTATAATTTACATTACTGCTGTTAGGTTGTGAATTTCCCACAAGGGATCAATAAAGTAATTATACAGTTTTTTCATTTATACACTATATTGCACATAAATTTCCCAATCATACTCCAGGCACTCAAATATAGTAAATATAGAAGACAATAGTAAATATGAAGTGGCTTCAGCCAAAGTCTCTCTCTTTTGTCAAATGAATGTAGTGTAGTCTGCGTTCTGGCAGCTGGTTAGCCTCTAGGGAGGCTGAAGGCAGATGTGATTGATATTGATGACACTTACACTGTCATAAAAAGTGACCGTATAAAATAAAAAGTGTCATTATAAAATTCAAACAGACTTATGGAAAAAGGCAGCTTGATATAAAAAATACTCTAGCAACACTAGAAATTTCAAGGTAAGAATTGTTAAATAAATGATAAACTAACAGAGCTTCACAAATGTTGTGGTTTTGCAATAAATATAACTTTATGTATAATTATTTATTTCATGGCATTTATAGATGTTAAACAAATATGTAAAATTTCCATGCATACATGGACTAGTTAATGAAAGCAGGTAAAAAGCAGCATCATATTATGACCATCTAAACTTTGGGCTGTGATCTGACTTCCTAATCCACAGAAACTCAATTTGTTGCATCTCTCCCACAGTTACAGCATGAATAAATTGTTACTGCAGTGCCATCTGCCATCCTGACAGTTTCATTTTTCATGATAGGGATATGATTACATTTAATCCTTAGACCAGAAATCAATATGGAGGTACCATTATTATAGTTTGACCATGTAACCTTTGTGCAAAGCTGAACATGAGGTTGACATAATTAGTCCTGGGTTAGGGAGGTTGCTCATTTGGTTGATGGACCAAATTCAGTCTAGAATGTTTGTCAAACATCACCCTCATTTCTCTCCTTTTTGTTCTTGTCCTCTCTCTAGTGTGATTGAGCAATGAGAGCAAACATGAAAAAAATCCTCTCAAAACCTGGGATAAGACCTTACCTTGACTGCTTTGCAGTTTAATCCAAATAAAGCACTAGTCAATGCTGTCAGTCGTCAAAGTGATGGATGTCCCACTTGACCATAGCTAGACTATGTTTTATTATTTCTGTCTCATAGGGCTGCATTGTCTGAGGGCATGTTACTCCACAACTCTGAATTTATTGTCTGTATATACACAAAAATGCCCCTTAAACTGAGAAACATGTAAAATATTGAAAAAATCGAAAATATTGGCAACAAAATAAACCAGCAGTGACTCACTGGAAGCAGTGGAGAAGCACTGGAAATTCAAAACCTAACTGTAATATACTGTGCACACCTATTATGTAAAGCACTTTGAGTGTGGTCCATAAACTAATTTCTGAAATATAATGAGCATGTTAATGTTGCTATAGCTGTCACACCTGTAGCTATACAGCCATTTTACAAGACCGCCCTGCTGTCATGCTAAGATTCCATTCACAGTGTATTACCACTTTGTACACAGTCTTTTTAGCCTTCATCAAGACAAATCCTCAACAGTGGGGTAACCTGATGCAGTTCAGTAGGTTCAGCTCAATATAACCGGTTCAATAAGTGAGTAGTTTCCAGAATACAAAGTTAGTATGAGGGCGAATTTATTTACAATTAAAGACAAAGTCTCGATCTAGTATTGAAACATACTTGCACAGTTGACTGTGGCTGGTAAAAAGAAAGTCTGAATGTTGATTGACTCCCAAGATGTTGGCTTTTATTTGTGCTATGTACCGCGGAGCTGTGGTCAGAGCAGGAACCTGCCTGACGATGGCACTTTTTACATCTGCATTAGTATTTTTAATCACAGATTGTTTTTGTGTCACTTAAACTTGCTTGTCCCTCTGGTACAGTCTAAAGTGAGATTAAATAGTCTCAGACCTGCCGACCTGTATGCATTTTGCGTAGCAGGTACACATTTTGATAGCAAAGTATACTGGTATGATTTTTCACTCTAAAGTGCACAAAAAGGTGGTGATACCTTGTGAGTTTGACCTCTTATGCAGTAATGCTAAAGTCTACTTCAGCTGAGTGTCTAGCCCATAGACATTAGGTCTTCCTACCAAAGGGAAGAAGAGAGAGCAATCATAGTGCCTGATTTGGGGATCACTGATAAAGGCGTAGCTTGAATGTCATTTCAAGAGGCAATAGGACCTTAAATTGACAGAGACACTCTTGACCTCGCTCCACTTCCTGGCTGGTTCTTTGAACTGCTTTGAAAAGGTAAACGAACTGCGGGACTGTGATTATAACTTAATGTTAGCCTAATGTATGTTCAGTATCCTATGTAGGGGAGACCGGGGATGATGGTAACACCTTTTGTTTGAGCATCAGTAACTCAGTGGCTGTTTGTGCTAGATCTCTCAAACTTTGATACATGGCACCATATCTGTCTACTACACATAAAACCTTACTTGGATGGCAAGTGGATCACGAATGATGTGAGTTAAAATCTACCCCACAACTGGCATGAGTTGTAACACTATCTGGGGATGGATGTAACAACAAGACAGAATTTGCTGAAACAATCTAATTTATGCAAGAATTATATTTAGCAATAAATAATGATCAGTTTTGAATAAAGTGAGTGAATGAAGGGACAAAAACACTTTAGGTTAGGTTAGGGTTAAGGTTAGGTATGTAGCGTTTGGTTAGGGTAAGTCTCCAGGAAATTAATATAAGTCAATGTAAAGACCTGCAAAGTGACAAATAAAAGGATATATGTGTGTGTTTTTGGAGGGGCTTTGGATTTCAGAATGTGCATATGTAACATAAAGGTTCAATCACTGTCACAGGTGTGAAAAAAGTAGAGAGCTGCCTCTGGAGTGCAGGGTTTGTGGGACCTGAACTGATAAAGTACAGTACTTACTTGACCCACACTCCCTTTGGCCTTTTGGTCACTGGGCTTCAGGGCATAAGGGGATGGTCATATGGGGGTGCAATGTTACAACCATCCACACCCCAAAAAGCCATTCCATAGTTAACATGCAGCTACTGTATGTGGGTTTGAAGTTAGCATGAATATCAAGCATCATATTAAACTAGAGAAACTGCTGCTTTCGGTTATATAAGTCAAACCATTATATCTACAATACAATGAAAACCAATCAAGAATAATCGTAATGAAAATCATATTTTTTAATCTGAAAATCAGTTTTTGTTCATAAAATCCACAGTTGTTGCTCACAGAGACATGCTGCTTCTCCTGTTAGCTCAAAAAAGAAAATGGGAATCTTTGATAGTGACATCATCACAGAATCTCTTTTCTGACTGGTCAAACTGGCAGTTTTACAATTTACCCAGTGTTACGTTCCTCCTGGATCTCCCCTGTGTCTAGCCTATATGCAAGCTAGCCTGCTTGTTCACCAGTCATTTAAGTTATGTGTGTCACAGATGATTAAACGTTACTTTTCATAGTAGTATTAATAATAATGCCAGTTATTGCAGCCAAACCCATCACTGTAATAAGCATCATGCATCTTGGCTGAAAAAAGACAAGTGCCACAGAAATTCCTATAAAGTCACTGGGAGAGATGGCCATGACTTCACATCTCCAGACTTCTCCACCCTTTTTCAGAAGAATAGTCATGTATTGACAAGTACTGTGAAATATCAGGGAA